CCAATAGCTGAGCAGGTTTATCACCATTATAAACTTATTGAATACAAGGAGATCAATTTGGTAATCTTTGGTAAGTTCAGTATCAGTGTTTTGATTTAACATTTTCTTACACAATCATGATAATTGATTTTTTTTCAGATATTTAAGGGATAACATGTTAGAAAGTTTACCAAAAGATCTGTTTTTGTCGAACACGAATCTTAATAGATTGTAAGTATGAATTATGCTCATCTCAGACTTTATTTTATTTTAGATGATATTATATATTTAATCATGTACACACATATCTGATGTTGTTCAATATACTTATGTGCCGAGAACACAGCAGTTTTATCATCATTCTATTTTAATTATGTCAATAGTTAATGTTGAATTTTTAAGCAATTACATAATTTAGATGTTTGATTTTAATACAAAATTGTAGCCAAAGACAACAAGAAAAGTTTACAAGATAGTCTGTTATCATCATACACCAAGTTACAAGAATTGTAATTGTGAATAATGTTTATCACAGACTTTATTTTATTAAAGATTGTGTTGTTTATATAATCACGTACATATATAACTGATATTCCTCAATATACATGTCTGTCGACAAATCAGAAGGTTCGCAAACTTCCTTTGTGCATACTTAATGTTACTTTAAATGTCACTCATTATTTAAATGTTGCGGTTGAATCTTATAAAAATGCATCAACAATGTCAGTTTAAAGAAAAATATGTTTTATCTTTTGAATACACGGAGATCGAATTTGGTAATCTCTGGTAAGTTCGGTATCGGTTTTTTTTTATTTAACATATTCTTACAAAATCAAGATATTTGGTTTCCTTCCAGGTTATTACAGGATAACAAGTTAGTAACTTTAACAGAAGGTCTGTTTTCTAACAACACAAACATTAAGGAATTGTAAGTATGATTTAACCTTATCTCAGACTTTTTCTTACATATTATATAATTTAAATTGTATATTTAATCACGTAAACACACATCTACTGTTCTTACATATACTTGTGTGCCGAGAACTCAGTAGTTTTGTCATAATTCTATTTCAATTTCGTCAAATAATGTTGAATTTTAAAGCAATGAAAATTACATCAACAATATCAGGTTGATGACAATTACATTTGATCCATTGAATAACTGAAGTTCAACCTTTGAAATGTTTGGTAATTTGAATATAAGTAGGTTTATTAAGTATGTTCATGATCATTGATTTTCTATTAGATATTTGCTTAATAACAAGTAAGAAAGTTTCCCAAAAGGTCAGTTAACATTGAACATGTTGAACACCAATCTTCAATATGTCAGACTAATACTTATTAAAAGATTATATTGGATTATTGTTTATCATGTTCCTATATAAAGGGGTTTTGATATACCTGTGTGCCAATATCTCAGCAGGTTTATCACTATTATAGAATTATTGAATACAAGGAGATCAGATTGGTAATCTTTGGTAAGTTATAATTAGTTCTTTAATGTAACATGTTCTAACATAATCATGATAATTGATTGTCTTCCAGAAATTTAGAGGATAACAAGTTTTTAACTTTACCAAAAGGTCTGTTTTCAAACATTAAAAAACTTGAAATATTGTAAGTATGATTAATGCTCATCTTAGACTTTTTCTTACATATTATATTATTTAAATTGTATATCTAATCATGTACGCACAGATGATCTGCTTTTCTTATACTTGTGTACCGAGGACTCAGTAGTGTTGTCATCATTCTATTTTAATTTCGTTAAATACTGTTGAATTTTAAAGCAATGAAAATTACATCAACAATATCAGGTTGATGACAATAACATTTGTTCCATTGAATAACTGAAGTTCAACCTTTGAAATGTTTGGTAATCTAAATAAAAGTAGGTTAATTAAGTATGTTCGTGATCATTGATTTTCTTTTAGGTATTTGCTTATTAACAAGTTAAACAATTTCCCAAAAGGTCAGTTAAAATTGAACATGTTGAACACAAATCTTCAATATGTCAGACTTAAACTTATTAAAAGATTATATTGGATTATTGTTAATCAAGTTCCTATATAAAGGGGTTTTAATGTTCTTGTATGACAATAGCTCTGCAGGTTTATCACTGTTATTATTGAATACAAGGAGATCAAATTGGTAATCTTTGGTAAGTTCAGTATCAGTGTTTTTATCTAAAATTTTTTTACACAATTTAGATATTTAATTTTCTTCCAGATATTTATGGTATAACAAGTTAGTAACTTTACCAGAAGATTTGTTTTTGTCCAACACGAATCTTAGAAAATTGTAAGTGTAATTGATATTTATATCAGACTTAAACTTATTTAATAGTGTGTTGAATTTTTGACCTCGTTCATATGTTTTCTACCAACACAAAAATAAAAAAATTGTAAGTACAGTTTATGCTCATCTTAGACTTTATTGTATTAAAGATTATATTGTATATTTAATCATCACGTACGCATATCTGATTTTCTTAAAAATACTTGTGTGCCGAGATCTCAGCAGTTTTGCCATCATTCTTTTTTAATTTAGTTCAATATTTTATGTTGAATTCTAAAGCAATAAAAATTATATCTATTATATCAGGTGGACGACAAATATATTTGATCGATTGAATAACTTTAGATCAACCTTAAAAGTATTTGGTAATTAGATTATAAGAAGATTCATTAAGTATGTTCATGATCATTGATTTTCTATTAGTTATTTAATGAATAACAAGATAGAAAGTTTACCAGAAGGTCATTTAACATTGAACATGTTGAACACCAATCTTCAATATGTCAGACTTACACTTATTATTAAAAGATTATATAAGATTAATTTTTATCATGTTCCTATATGAAGGGGTTTAAATATACTTGTTGGCCAATAGCTCGGCAGGTTTATCACCAGTATACACTTATTGAATACAAGGAGATCAATTTGGTAATCTTTGGTAAGTTCAGTATTAGTGCTTTAATGTAACATGTTCTTGCATAATCATAATAATTGTTTTTCTTCCAGAGATTTACAGCATAACATGTTAGAAAGTTTACCAAAAGATCTGTTTTTGTCGAACACGAATCTAATGACATTGTAAGTGTAATTAATAGTTATATCAGACTTAAACCTATTTAAAAGTGTGTGGAATTTTTAACCTTGTGCACATTTACCATGTGTTTTTTTATATATGTCTGTGCCAATAGCTCAGAAGGTTTATCGCCATTCTATTGTCTACGAACACTTCGTTCTTACATGCTCATTTAACTTTTAATGTTATTCAATATTTAAAAATTAATCTTAGAATTCCATTTGGTAATTTGAGTATTATTGTCTTGATTAAATATGATCTCACATAATCAAGATGATTGATTTTAATCCAAAAGTATAGATAATAACAACTTACTAGGTTAACCAGATAATATGTTATCATCAAACACTAAGTTACACGAATTGTAATTGTGATTAATGCTTATCACAGACTTTTTTTATATTAAAGATTGTTTTGTTTATATAATGACGTACATATATAATTGATGTTTCTCAATATGCTTGTGTATCAACAACTATGAAGGTCTACAGTCATTTCAATTTGCTCGAAAAATTCCTTTTTGCATACTAATCTTACTTTAAATGTCGCTCAATATTTATAGATGGAATTGAAAGCTTAAACAAATGCATTAACAATATCAGAAATTTATATTTTATCTTTTGAATACAAGGAGATCGAATCTGGAAATCTTTGGTAAGTTCAGTTTCAGTGTTTTAATGTCACTTTTTCTTACATAATCATGATAATTGATTTTCTTCCAGATATATAAACCATAACAACTTAGTAAGTTTACCAAAAGATCTGTTTTTGTCCAACACAAATCTCAAAATATTGTAAGTATGAATTATGCTCATCTCAGACTTTTTTTTTTTATTTTAAATGAAATTATATATTCAATAATGTACACTCATATCTAATGTTCTTCAATATACTTATGTGCTGGGAACTCAGCAGTTTTGTCATCATTCTATTTAAATTATGTCAATAGTTAATATTGAATTTTTAAGCAATTAATCAACAAAAACAGGTGGATGACAAATATATTTGATCCATTGAATAACTGAATATAGACCTTTGAAATGTTTGGCAATTTGAATATGAGTAGGCTTATTAAGTATGTTAATTGATTTTCTGTTAGATATTTAATGAATAACAGTTTAAAAAGTTGACCAGAAGGTCTATTAACATTAATGCAAATCTTCAACATTTATAAGTGCAATTGATATTTATATTAGACTTAGAATTATTTATTATTGTGTGGAATTTTCAGCCTAGTTCATATGTACCCAGTGTTTTTAATATACATGTGTACCAATAGCTCAGCAGGTTTATCCCCATTCCATTGTCTATGATCACTTCCTTTTTATATGCTTATTTAAATTTTAATGTTATTCAATATTGCAAAATTAATTTTAGAATTTCTTTTAGTAATTTGATATAATTGTCTTGATTGAATATGTTCTTACATAATTACGATGCTTGATTTTAATCCAAAATTGTAGCCAAAGACAACAAGGAAGGTTTACCAGATATATATGTTATCATCAAACACCAAGTTACAAGAATTGTAATTGTGAATAATGTTTAGCACAGACTTTATTTTATTAAAGATTGTCTTGTTTATATAATCACGTACTTATATAACTGATATTCTTTAATATACTTGTCTGTCGACAACTCAGCAAATCTTCCTTCATTTTATTTTGTTCGCAACTTCCATTGTGCATACTTTATGTTACTTTAAATGTCACTCATTATTTAAAGGTTGCAGTTGAAGCTTATAAAAATGCATCAGAAATGTCAGTTTTAAGAAAAATATATTTTATTTTTTGAATACACGGAGATCGAAGTTGGTAATCTCTGGTAAGTTCGGTATCAGTTTTTTAATTTAACGTATTCTTACAAAATCAAGATATTTGGTTTCCTTCCAGGTTATTAAATGATAACAAGTTAGTAACTTTACCAGAAGGTCTGTTTTCTAACAACACAAAACTTAAAACATTGTAAGTATTATCTCAGACTTTTTTTTACATAATAATTATTATATTATTTAAATTGTATATTTAATCACGTACACACACATCTGCTGTTCTTACATATACTTGTGTGTCGAGAACTCAATAGTTTTGTCATCATTCTATTTTAATTTCATTAAATACTGTTGAATTTTAAAGCAATGAAAATTGCATCAACTATATCAGGTTGATGACAATTACATTTGATCAATTGAATAACCGAAGTTCAACCTTTGAAATGTTTGGTAATTTGAATATAAGTAGGTTAATTAAGTATAGTCATGATCATTGATTTTCTATTAGATATTTGCTTAATAACAAGTTAAAACATTTCCCAGAAGGTCAGTTAACATTGAACATGTTGAACACAAATCTTCAATATGTCAGACTTAAACTTATTAAAAGATTATATTGGATTTTTAATCATGTTCCTATATAAAAGCGGTTTTAATATACTTGTATGCCAATAGCTCAGCAGGTTTATCACTATTATTAGATTATTGAATACAAAGAGATCAGATTAGTAATCTTTGGTAAGTTCAGAATAAGTGCTTTAATGTAACATGTTCTAAAATAATCATGATAATTGATTGTCTATAATTGATTGTCTTCCAGAAGTTTAGAGGATAACAAGTTAGTAACTTTACCAGAAGGTCTATTTTCTAACAACACAAATCGTGAATATTTGCGATTGTAAGTGTAATTTATATTCATATCAGACTTAAACTTATGTAATATTGATTGAATGTTTAACTTCGTTCATATGTACCATGTGTTCTTTAATATTCTTCTGTGCCACTAGCTCATAAGGTTTATCATTCTATTTTATTATCTATGAATATTTCTTTCTTACATGCTTATTTAAATTTTAATGTTATTCAATATTTCAACATTTATCCTAGAGTTTCTTTTGGTAATTTGAGTATTATTGTCTTGATTTAACACGTTCTTGCATAGAATTAAGTTTACCAGTTGGTCTGTTATCATCGAACACAAAGCTTCGACTATTGTAAGTGTGATGGATTATTATCTGAGCCTTTATCTTATTATATTCCTATAACGATCATATATAGTTGATGTTCTTCTATACATGTAAGGGAACTTGTTGGCCGGGTAGTCTATGTAGTTTAACTACTGTATCACAAGCCTGTCAACACTGAAGTAGTGATTTCATACCAGGCATGTGACATTTGACTTCAATATTAATTATATCTATACCTATGTACATACTCATTTTACTCCTAATCTCATTCTATATTTAAAGGTAAGCCTTTAAAATCTTGCGTAATTCAAGAACCATTGTCTTGATTGAATATATTCTTACTCAATCATGATACATGATTGTCTTCCAAGTCAGGAAAATAGCAGTTGTTTTTCACTTATTCCATTGTTTGATAGCGTTTGATTTTGTCTGTTTTTATGGACTTCCCCTTTTTGAATTTGGCTTGTAGTCCAGTATTTTTTGTTATACTTTTTTGAAACCTTTGATAATTTGAGTATTAGTGTCTTATGTTTATCAAAGACTTTAGCATGTTTATCTTATCATATGGTAGATTGTATTGCATATCTTATCATGCACATATGTAGCTGATGTTCTTCAAAATATTTTTATGTGCAAACAACTCAGCAGGTTTACCATCATTTTATTGTTTACGCACAATTCATTTGTACTTCTTTATTTAACGTTTAATGTCGTTAAATAATTAAATATTGCTGTTCAAAGCTATATCAGTTCTAAGAAAATTTATTTATCTTTTGAATACACGGAGAACGACATTTGGAATTTTTGGTAATTTTAGCATCAGTGTCCTAATTCAGATCTTCATTCATGATATTGATTTTCTTATAGAACTTTGCAGGGTAACTTCTTAATAAGTTTACCAGAAGGTCTGTTCTCGAAAACAGAATTATGATTATAATAATTTGTGTTGCAAGCATTTGTTATGTAGGACAGTTGTTCCTCCTGCGTAATAAAATGCCTTGCTTAATTTTGATTTGATGATTTATATCTCTTTTTGCAAATATCTGTAGAAACAACATGGTACTTTGTCGTTGTTCCTATAATTCCATGTTGTTGCCGTATCTTGTATATATTTCTTCCCCTCCAGATTTTAAATTGTTTCGCAATAATGTGAAAAAGCAGAAGTCACATGGATATGTACATGACATAGAAATTAACCTTATATTGAATTTAATATTTAAGGTATATGAAGGGAAACCAATTCATATGCTGCCTCATGAATGATTTTAAAGAATGGGCATCAAATCAAACAAAGCTGGATTACGAAGGAACGTGTACTGGTTTAAATACCACCATAGATATTCACAATTTTAACATGACAGACTGCATAATTCCAGGTAAGCAGTTTAAAATATTTCTCAATAAATGATGAAATTTACTCATATTTCATGTATATGCAATCTATCCATTCCCAATTTGACCTCTGTAGCAACTATCTGAAATAAAAATAAATGTCTTAGACATGCTTCTATTTTATTTTTTCAGATTTGTTGAGAAAGTGCAAGAACATTTAACATTCTCGATGTCCATTTTTATTCCATATCTATGTGTCATTAATTTTGTAAATTTGCTTGCTAAATTGGTTTTAGTTTTTTTTTTTATTAAGTCACACTTGTGATGATGAGAAAAACAGTAAAACATTAAGTTGGAGTTTTAACTAGAGCCTCATTCTCTTTACCGACAATTTTAATTGACCAAATTAAGGAACTTTTGACTTTACTTTAACAGACACAATCTTAAACAACTGAATACACAGTTTGTTTTTTTGTCTAAATAGTATACCTTATATGTTTGATAGGATTAGTCTTTTATACCTATAAGGTTTCATTTACACTACATGAAATTCATGAAAAATGGATAACTACTGCTGATCATAATATAAAGGTCAATTACTGTAAATTCAAGTTACCCAAATTAGCTCAAACTGTCGAATTTGATTTATACCATGCAAAAACCTGTTTCCAACTTACAAAACTTCCTATAATGTGACTGCAGTCTGACTTTGATTGCTAGAAAAGAAAAGGTTAAACAAGGAAAGAAAGCTTAAGACCAATATCATTCATTAATTCGGCATGCACTAAAGAATTCCTACTCAAGTTAAAGGTAAAATTATGAGTATGATGCATGCATGAGTATTTAAATGAGGTCGAACGATTGTTTTGTGGGAATAATTTATGCAAAATTGAGGCTTTTAATTTATGATAACAAAATTGAACTAAACTGACAGCTAATAGTATATAATTGTTCAATATTTTTGCAATAGTATAAATTGATAACGTGTTGTTTTCATTTTTTTAAATGAAGGATGGAGCCTTTGGTTCAACTCCTCATGTTCTGTTACTTGTGGAGATGGTGTCATAATGAAAACCAGAACATGTGACAATCCCCCACCGTCTGACGATGGACTGAAATGTGTTGGTTCCAGAACTGAAACTTCACTTTGCAACTTAGGAAAATGTCGAGGTAAATTCTTTATATACATCAGATTAAAATTATTACCACAGAATTAATTGTTAACCAGAGCGGAACACTTTTTTCAGAACTTATTAAAACCTGTTAAATCTATCATTATATTCTGTGAAATCAGAATAAAAAAAATCATCGAAGATGTAAGGCTTTTTCGCCATACGCGTGTTTCTTCTACGTGAGACTCGTCTGTAGCGTTTTAATGGAATCAGTTTTGAGCTAAGAGCAAATACATGGTAAAAGGCTTAAAAAAAGTAAAGTACCAAATATGGCTAAGGCAATCAAAAATCCGTAGCGTTTCCTAAAATTTCAACATTTCAAAACCAATAAACAGTCAGGGCAATAATATTTCTTAAAAATCACTTATGCAAGTAACATTTCCTCCAGAAATGCTGCAAGTAAGAGTAGTCTTTCTTTAACAATCACCTATTTAAATAGTACATATAAATCACTAAATAGCTTTACATATATAATATTAATGATCCTGGAATGATTTATCAAAAACAACATATGTGTTGATAGGATGACCTGTCATGTCAGATGATGACCCTGTACTGAAAATGGGATAATAACATGAAAATCACTCGTATCATACCTCTGTTTTCTTAACTGCCCCCCCCCCCCCCCCCCCCCCCCCCCCCCCAAGTTTGTTTAAGTTGTTAATGGATTTAATAGAATAATTCAAGGATATGCCATTACTATCCAAATAAAAAAAAAATAATGTGACATTAGGTGTTTGTTGTTATTCTGTGGTTTACATGTTGAAATGTACTATTATATTATTTATTTATGTATTTCTCTGTCCTGAATGTTCTTGCATTTATTTGTACTGTATTCATGTAACGTAATGTTGTCATTTTAGCGGTATTTTTACAATTGCCATATACGCGGACGGTTTGGCTAGCCATAAAACCAGATTTAACCAACCATTTTTTCTCTTAAAATGTCATGTACCAAGTCAGGAATATAACAGTTGTTATCACATAGTCCGTTTCTATGTATGTTGGCGTTTGATTTTGTAGCAGTCCAGTGTTTCTGTTTCTGTTTCCTCTAATAGTTGATGTGTTTCCCTCAGTTTTGGTTTGTGACCCGGATTTGTTTCAGTTAAATCGATTAATGACTATTGAACAGATGTATACTACTATTGCCTATATTTATAAAGCAATTACTTATAGTCAAGATGGGTCTATAAAAATCTCACTGTATTTAGCGAAACCTTGAGTCAATGAGGTTGCATATTGTTCATATCTTTTTACAGAATCATGCCGTCACTCAAAGAAAGGATCCAACAACAAATCAGTAGACAATTTGGACAATAAATCAGGTAAATTTCCCCCATAATCTTTTCATTCATTATGACAAGCAGAAGTTATGGTCGACATTAATACAATGTTAGCACCGGCTACGGTTACCCGCAAAAAGTAACAATAAGAAATAATTATTGTTACTTCCGAGACTAATTGCCCAGATGTGTTACCAAGTGGAACCCTATTTCATACGGAAATTGCAGGTAACAATAATATAATTTTTTATTGTTACCTGCAGTAATTATTACCCGCAAAATATATTCAGGTAGGCAATGGTCTAAAAAAATGTTTGATTTGCGAGCAATCAATGAAATAAAATTAAACAATTAAATTATGATATAACATTAAAAATGATTAAACTTCCAGATGAATTTACCAATATGACGTTTATTATTGCCATATGGTGGTCGATTAAAGCAGTTTTCTATTCGTTACTCGAGTAAGATGTCCAATTTGTGGTCAGTGAAAAGTTTATATCTTTTCAAAATTTTAATGATAAACTTCAACGATTCCAAGATGCAAATTCTGTTCAATTATATAGAAGAAGTTCTGATCATAACCCCAGAGGAACAATTTCTTTCATTTGAGAAATTTCCTACGAAATTGCTCGACGAGAGCAATAATCTCAATAGAATCAAAGAATATTTTTCAAATGAGTAATGGAAAATGCAAAAAAAAAAACAGATATAGCAGAGGAAGAACACAGCAAAGTGGAATTGCTTAGTGTGTGGTATTCACTTTCATATATATGAATCTATTGTTTGCAACAGGTATCTGGAGTGGTATCACCTAAAATGTGTTGGCCTCAAAGTGTCAACTAAGGCTATATACTGGATGTGCCAGAAGTGCCACCAAAATAAATAGCTATAATACTTCTTATTATGTATAAATGTATAAATGTTGCTGTGTTCATTAAATAATTGCTATTCATATAAATTTTTTTTTCAAATATGTTAACCAAAGAATACGGGGCAATGACACGAAGACAGTACAAAGTATCCAGATGCTACACACAAAAAAAATGTAATTTGCAAATGTAAAATTTTGTGAGTTGCTGTACTTGCCGATACAACATATTTTATTGTTATCTGCTGTTTCCGTATGGAATTGGATTCTTCTCCAGAAATAAATTTCAGGAATTAGTCTCAGAAGTAAACATAATGATTTTTTATTATTACTTTTTGCGGATAACCCTAGCCAGTGCCTACAATTTTTGTCTTGCCTGTGATAAAGTCGCGGAAACCGAAATATAGGGATTACTTTTCTGGCGTCGGCAACGATGGCGTCAACAATTGTTAAGTTTTCTGCCTACGTTAGTTTGAAAGAAACAACTTGTGATAGATCATTGATATTTAATACAAAGTTGCATTACTATCAGTATATATCAGTTTGATGACCATTTTGAGGCCCTGCCCCTAGGTCATGTTTCAGCGACTTTGAATGAACTAAAAATTTTCAATGTTAACTTTTCTACTTAACATAGTTTGATAAGATCTACCTGTGATAGATCAATGATATTTAACACAAGGTTGCATTACTATCAGTACATATCATTGTGACAACTATTTTGAGGCCCTCAGCCTTAGGTCATGGTTCAGCGACTTTGAATTAATTACTAGTTTTCTGCTGAAGTTAGATTGATAAGAACTGCTTATAATAGACAATGATATTGTCTATATAGTTTCATTACTGTCCGTACATCTCAGTTTGTCGATCATTTCTAGGCCCTGCACACAAGATCATGGTTAAATGACTTTGAAATAAAAAGCAATGTTGCTGTCCATCAGATTGTCTTTTTCTGACTTTTATGCTTACAGGCGAGACATATCTCTGTGTCATCAGTTTATTGTTTTGCCATTGCAGTTAATACTATTTTCCAATTTGGAATTTATTACGACATTAATAAATCACCCACCATGTGGATCCACACTCAGTCGAAATATCACAAATGAAAGACAGTGTGCGGCTAGTCATTTATTTATTCTTTTTCTTCCAGGAAAAAAACTGCGTAATATGAAGCCATGAACCAAAAAAGAAGGGACAAGTTTGATTGGAAGAAATGAAAACAAAGTGGATCGATTTCATTCCTATATAAAACTGAGGGACAATTCTAACATGGTTTGAATCATTGTGGGAAAAGTCATTCTTTGCTTTCATTTGGAATTTTAAATTTCGATATCATAGATACAATCTGTGTGGTTTACTTTCTCTTGAGTGCAAACTTACTAAGTCTTACTTGTATGTTGTAATCTTGAATTCAGTTATTAGGTTAGATGAGTTTTATTTGACCACCTATTATAGCATTGCATCTGTTTATTAATGATATGTATGAAATTAAATTTGTAGAAGTGTGTGAGAATAAACGTTTTGTTGTATCGTTTGATGATTTTTTGTGGGATATACATTAGCTACATGTTACATTTTTTTGGTGATATTTTGTGGGAATATTCATTGGTACTTTCAACTTGTATTTGAATAATTTATATATGTGATTTTTTTCTCAATAAATGCGGGTATAAATTTAATAGTACATTTTTTCATTTTTTTTTTTTTTTTTTCCATATAAATATCAAATGATCAAGGCAGATGATTTTTAATACCATATACATATAATTAACAACCAGGAGGTAAACTTATTTTCAATTTTCAGTAACTCCAAGTTACTGATGGGTTTGGTTGAACTAAAACGAGACCCAGATGAACCAAGACTAGACACTTTATCTGAATAGATCAGAGCTATTCAGTCGTGCATTCAGAAGGGGATTCAAACTCTACGAATAAAATGAGCACATGGGTGTTTAATCCTTTAAAAAATCTATAGTGTGCAAGCTGTATCCTCTCTTCACGACAAATGTGTTGATGTTACAGCCAACAAAGCCACTAACTATGTTGTTTTTATATGGTAACGTCATTATTTTGAGTGTATAATAGAGGCAAAATATACCAAAAAGATAATCGAACACATAAGTCGAAAAACAAAGTAACAATGCCATTGCAAAATGCAAAAAAGGATGGGTAAGCAGGTCATCATCCACATGTTGCTTTCGTCTAACTAATGAATGCAATATCATCATTCACGAAGGGGGATATTTTAGTAAATAAAAAACGTGACCTTCTCTCCTTTAGTATTAACATTAAATGGACTATTAAAAGCTCAGTCCAAATACTGGGTAAAAAACTTCCATAAATTATTAAAAAAAAACTACATATAGCCGGTGTCATATGGTATTTTGAACCCCCTGAAAAGTGAACCCGGGGTAAAAATACCATATGTAAAATTGACTCCGGGTTCATTGTACCGCATGGTATTTTAACCCTCGGGGTAATTTTTCCCATATGGTATTTTGAAAAAAGTAAAATCACAAAAATACTGAACTCCAAGGAAAATTCAAAAAGGAAAGTCCCCAATCAAATGGCAAAATAAAAAAAAACCAAACACATCAAACGAATGGATAACAACTGTCATATTCCTGACTTGGTACAGGCATTTTCTTATGTAGAAAATGGTTGATTGAACCTGGTTTTGAACCCCATGCACCATGGAAAATTGAACCCCCTGTTTTAATCAAAAGTATTGCAGATTATCAAATGTACAATATGTTGTCTTTTTTATATGGAGGTGTATAGTAAGGAGTTAACCCCTTGCTATAACAAATTGAACCTCCTTGTCTGTATAACTCCAATATCAACAATCAAATCATTCAAACTGCTTTTCAAAGTTTTAATACTCTAATGAGTATATTGTATATATAAAACATGTTGAAAAAGATGGTTTGACTATTTTACTGAGCCATGGTAATTTGACCCCATCCCCCTTGTTTACCATGGAAAATTTAACTCCCTTTATATGTTAGGAAACCAAATAATCAAAGCATTTAAGCTACATGGTCTAGTTATGATGCTTAAATATTATTTTGAATGAAATTATGTTGGTAAAGATTTCAGAGCACTTATACCAAGCCATGTGTTTTTATTTTACCTACCATGGAAAATTGACTTCCCCTTTTTGTATGTCTGATTTTCAATCTACAATAAGCTTTAAAATAATGTATCATGTTCTAATAATTATTTAGAATGGAAAAAAAACAGGGGGGTCAATTTACCATTTGGGATCAATTTTCCATACAGAGGGGATTCAATTTACCATAGCGGTATTTTGACCCCCGGGGTCAATTTTCAAGGGATTCAAAATACCATATGACACCGGTTCGTCAAGATGTTCAACTAAATTTCTCTCTAAAATTCTTACTACCATTTATTCAACAATAAAGAATGGCATTCCGAAATTCATTTTTTCACAAAAAATATTACGATAAAAATTGATCGGAAGTTATACTGAAATGCTCTGTGACTTACGAGTATTTTTTCTCGTAAGATTTTTTGTGATATGAGTAGCAGGCCTTCATATAGATAAGTTAGCTATTTCTTAATTTCCTTTTTATACACTTAAATACTTTTACAACCATATTCAGTTTACTGGTTATTTCTATTTAATATCTGTGTATTATGTTTTCTATAACGATAACATACACATCATTTAATTAGTAAATTGACAAATTAGTTAAAAAAGAATATTTTTACATTCAAGGATATTAGGTCGTTATAAATGCTTAAATGAGCAAAAACGTCTCTCAGAGAACCAATGAAACATATGTATTTAATGAGATTCAATTTTACATTTAAACCAGTTCAAGGAATGGAATACTGGACAAAAACAAGTTAAATGTAGATCAAAGCTTACAAAACGAAATTTGTTTAAATAACTTTATTGGTTTGCCTAACAATCAATTGCAAGTATTTCACGCATATCAAGGACCAAACTAAGTTGGACAGACCACAAAAGCAAAATGGAAGCAAATTAATTGTTCAAAATAAATTTCCAAGTGTAATTAGTTTTTAAATTAAACTCGTTTCATATTAATACACAGAAAACAGATTACTATGGAAATAAATCTTACTCTTATTTATCAAGCATGATGAATAGGTCAAAACCGACAGAAAATAAAACTTAAAGTAACTGAAATTAAAAAAAAAAACAATTTACACAAAAAATTTAAACTTTCAATCTAATGAAAACAATGCTGATATTTTCCTGGCCAAGACAAATTATGGCATAAAGTACAAATAGCTAGGCTATTGAAATATCATCATTTATAACGAAGATTAATTTATATTAAAGGATAAGTGTTGAATTACCTTTGATGGGGAGAGGGGGTTATCTCGCCACCCCACCCCCTATTTGTTAACAAAGAGAGGTATTAGGGTCTTGTCTTTTACTCTTCTTAAGCATTCAAATGAAATGACACGTAAAATAATTTCTCCTGACTATATGTAGATATGTCAAATATGGCAACTGGCTTCATTTAAAACAAACAAAAACGAAAAACATGGGACTATTACACTAACATATATATTATGTCACAGAAAACAATTATTAAACAAGGTCTGCAAAAAATTTTTTGTTTGACATATTTTGATATTTCTAAGAAACTGACTTTTTTGTGTGTGTTGATAGCAAGCTTGCACTATGTGTATATAACAGTCACACATCACCTCTAATCTTTAAGATCAACAATGCAACATTAATGCAATACTGTTGACAAGATGCCCTAATTCTTATAACACTTGAATTTTTCGTGTTGCTCAGTCTTTAGTTTCTATGTTTTGCTTTGTGTACTATTTTTTGTCTGTTTGTCTTTTTCTTTTTAGCCATGGCGTTGTCAGTTTATTTTCGACTAATGAGTTTGAATGTGCCTCTGGTATCTTTCGCCTGTTTTTAAAAATACATACTAGTTATGCATCCCTTTATAAAAGATTTGTTTTCTTCAACATTTCAAAACCGTATATCACTGCTGAAAATAATCTTGAATAAAGGCAACAGTAGTATACCGCTGTTCAATAGTCATGAATCGATCAAGCGAAAACAATTCCAGGTCACAAACCAAAACCGAGGGACAACAACGGAACAACAGACAACACTAAACTGCAACAAAAACAAACGCAAACATACATAAAAAAGTCAAATCTAGATTTCCATCAAATGTTATATTCATCTTCAAAACTTTTTTATTAGATAAAATTGACCAACATGACCAGAAATACTCGAATGAGCATTGATCACGCATGACATACCCTGAAGTATTAAACCTGCCGAGAAAAACTTATAAGTATTGCTTTGATAATTTTAAAACAGAAAAATCAGTGTTTAGACGATTCACGATGTAACTCTAATGTATTATTGTTATATTTAAAGTAATCAAAACGCTCTAATGAGGGTGTGGAAAGGGGGGTCCTTATTTTCTGTATTCCTTAATTTTTTATGTTATTTTTCTCTATTCTTTTTCCCCCCAATCATTATCTATTCTTTTTTATTTTAGCGGTCTTTTAATCTCTATTCCTTATATAATTTTGGTATTTTTTTCTCTATTCTATATTTGTTTGGCCCATTATTCAATAGTCTTTAAACTCCATCAGGACCCACCCCCCACCCCCCTAAAATGGCTTGATAATTCTTAATTTCATAACACTCTCAATTTTCAATACATATTCTTATAGTGATGAATTATTTTTGTTCTTTTTTTTATTGATAAAAGTTTGCTTTTCTTAAACGTTTTCAAGCCTTTGTTTATCACAGCTTGGTTGTAAGTCTAAACTTTCCATCAAATGTATAGTAATATTTCATTTTTCAAAACTGCTTTATTCTTAATATTTATAATTGTTGTCTATTTAATAATTTCTAATCAACGTGATCATTGATATTTACCATACACACAGGTCATGAAGATATCTCTGAGACTACTACAGTGTATCAGACATTGTAGTCTCAGCCTATACGAAGACAATGGCACGTGTCTATAAAAACCCGCATAGCTTTATAAATCCTTAAAACAGCACTTCATAGACAACAAATAAAATGTTCTTTTGAATAATGAACATACATTTTGAAGTTGAATTAAATTATATGTCCTGAGTGCTTTTTTTTTGTCGGAGTTCCTTTTTTGACGACAAGCTCACAGTTGCAACAAAATCATGTTTAGTTACATTTAAAAAAAAAACTATTTCAATGTCATTGCCATTATTCAAGCATCATCGCACACAGGTTTGTCTAAAAGGATAGCTGATTGGAAAAAAGTTACAAAAAGCCACGCCTACGTTAAACTGATATCCAATGAACTGCCTTCAGAAACAACTGCCTTCAGAAACATAAATTACACAAATCAAACACGGAAACAGAGATTTGGTTGCGCATTTAATATTTGAAAAGGTTTATATATAATTGAACTTCATAAGTTAAATAATGGGAAATTGTTGTGTACAACCCCCCACCCCCCACTTTTTTTTTAGACTATATTTAAACTGAGAAATACAAAGTATGACCGTACTGCAAGTTTTGCGATTTTACAAGCATTTTATACACCAACATGTATTTCCCGGGATCATCAAATCAGAAACTTATATACACATGTGCATAAATATATGTCTTTGGTCATATTTAAAATTTGACAGAGCTAGATAATAAAATGTC